GACTCCCGATATAGAATTTTTTTAAAATTGGCAGAAAGTTTTTAAAAATTCGACAGCGACAAAATTTCGAAATTGTCAACAGCTATTTATTAGACCCTGCTGCAAGATATCCAAAAATGATATGATTTTGGGAATAGCCAAAGAAATTTCGAAACTATGGCCGACTTCCGGTTTTCGGCCATTCGAGAAATTCGAATTTGTTTTAATCAGTAATGGTGGCATATAATGGTAAAAAAAAAAGAATAATAACCTTAGCAATAACAATAGTCTTTCCGACATAGTCTAAAATCCTAATAATAGCAATTATAATCCGAACAAAAACAATAGTAACCCTGATAAAGTATGGATTTTATGTAAAAAAAATATATATAATAATTATGACAATAATACTTTCCTCAGATAAATATACACCACAATTTAACATATAATTTGTACTAACGATCGACAGTGGCAAGGAATCTTTAACGTGCACACCAACATGTACACGGAATAACAATTCTCAGTTTCTGGTTAACCTGATATAAGCTATTAAAGGTATGTTTTTCAGGGGTCAGTTCAGGTTGTTGTATTATACCATAATTCGCTCGTGCTGATACAGATGTTCTCTTCAGATTAAAATAGATAAGATCGTGAAATTGAAATAATTGAGTGTCATTTGATTAACTATCTATCTTTGATAATATTCGAGCTTGGAATCAGTAAGCTGAAAAGTGGCCCATCATAGATTTTGCCCAAGACTTATAGATGGTACTGACTTGTTTATTTTGCCTGCATAGCACACACGATCTTTCACGCATAACTTATTCTGTTAGTAAGTGCAGGAGGACTGCACTACACGGAAAACAGAATTGACAAAACTAACCTGCGGACAAGGGCCACTACAAAGACATAGCAAGAAATAAACAAGAAATATCTATTCAATACATCAAATCAAGTCAAGTGGCCAGCCGTAAACTTAACATTAAAATCTATTTCATTTCACATTCAAGTAACAAAGTTACATCGTTGTCTGTGATTCTCCTAAAACGGCGAATGGCGAACGCCAGCAAAATAGGGATAATGCGACTTGAATTTTGGTCGAAAAATTGCAAATAATAATTATTATTTTATCAGCGTAGACTCATGAACACGTATAAGCGAATATTTAATGAATTAAGCGAATAGAGGACATGTCTTTAAATGACATTTAAAATACATTATAGACCTACGCGGCTACGCCTTCTCGTATTATCAATACATGGCATTTCTTCGTTTCGTTGTGAATTTCCCGGATATGTCTACTTTTTTTTAGTAGAATAAAAAATACGCGGGAAATAAAGGAATCCGATCATCAAGTCGCATTATCTCTATTTTTGGCGTTACCACAATACACACATCTTGTCAAGACTACAAACAGTGATAACTTAATTCAGAATGAAGTAATTTGAATGAAATTTTCAATATTTTCATTTTACATTAGGCCAATCTATTTTTAAGCTATTATAGCAAGAATGGTCAGCTCTTTATCTAAATCTTACATAATGTATCTTTAACTCCAAAAACTCCGAAAATTTCAATGTTTTTGCAGATTTTACACCATGCATTTCTACTCCTTGTGACTGTGCATATTCGCGAATGATTCTAGTCACTTCTTAGTGTGTGTTTTGTGCAAACAGTACGAAGGTAACAATATCTCGGCAGGGAAAATCCAGTCGATCCAACTCAGTGGCCAAAGGGACAGAATCTGTAAAACATGGCGCCGGTCCCGAACCTGATCAAGACGGTGAAAAAACGGAAGATGATGCTCTCTGGATGCTGTGTGAGAAAACTCTCAAAAGCAAAGATGTGTGTCTTTAGTGTGATAGATGTGATCAGTAGGCGGGCATCAAATGCCTGAAAATTTCGCACGAAGTATACAAGCAGATCGCGAGACCAGACTTGTGGTGGTTCTGTGACCACTGCGTGAAACCAGCACTTCAGTCAGTGAAAACTGACAAGGCCATCGAGGATAGGTGCAAACAGCCCCTGGAAGGTGTAGAATCTAGACTTGATAAAGTGGAAGACTAAATAGCAAAGAAAGCCTCAGTGCAAGCAGTCCTAGATTTTAGAGATCATGTTGACATGAAATGCGAAATCCTAGGTGGCGAAATGAAGGAGCTAGAGGCAAAAGTAGAGCAACTCACGCAAAACCAGTCGACAGTGGACGCCAGATTGAGCGAAGCCAAAAGTGAGGTAACCTTTACGGTCACAAAAGACATGCAAGACAAAGAGAGGCGTGCAGCAAATCTAATCCTTTTCAAAGTACCTGTCAGTGAGGCAGAAGAGCCCAGTGCTCGAAGAAAGGATGACGAAGTTTACTTTGAAAAAGTTTGCAAGGAGGGACTGGAGATGAAAGAGACAGTAAAAGTTCACAGAACCGTCTGGTTGGGCAAAACCACTGACTCCAATGGGCCTATGAAGGTAACACTTTACAGTGCAGAGCAGGTTGACTCTGTGATCAAAAGTGCAAAGAAGCTGAGTGCCAAAGGTGACTTCCAGAACATCACAATCTCCAAGGACAGGACACCTTGAGAGAGGGAGATGATGCGCGACCTGGTACGCTTGAAGAAGGATCAAAAACAGGAAATAGCACTCTGGGTAATAAGACAAAGCCAAGCCAACTCACAAGCCCGCGGCTGTGGACGGAGAGGAAATATACTAAACAACGACTTCAAATGTCTGCGTTGCGTGTACAAATGTAGATACCTTGTCAAATAAACGTTCAGAATTACGTCACCTTCTTGTACGCGACCAATATGATGTTATTTTGTTGAGTGAAGTTTTGCCCAAGAATTTCAAGGAAACAATTCAACTTGCTGAGCTTGTGGTAGATGATTATGATTGTTTCACAAATTGTTTCAGTATGGATTCCCCCAGAGGTATCATTATCTATGTAAATAAATTATTAAATGCACAAAAGGTATCACTATCCCCTGAACAAGCGAGTACCAAAGAATTTGTTTGGGTTGTAATTCAACTGAAAGGTGGCTACTATGTGACCCTGTATGGTCTAGTAAGCGCTACAACTACAAGAAAGCAGACCACGAGAGCATGAAGAATACTGTAGAAGATACTGATCTTGTATCTCAGATTAAAGGCAAAAATGCACAAGAAGCCTGGGGTTGTATATAATGGACTGTAAAGACGGCGGTCGATAAATGCGTACCAAAATGTAAAAGACAGGCAAAACCACGAAGAGACGCAAACTTGTGTGGTGGAACGACAAGGTTATGAGTAAGATCCGAAAGAAGAAAGAAGCATACCGGAGATACCCCCAGACGCGTGACGGCAAAGACTTTGGAGTACCCTAAAGCAAGAAATCAGGCTAAGGTTGCCTGTCGCAAGGCGACCAGAGACCATGAAAAGAATGTGGCTAGGGATGCAAAGAAAAACCCTAAAGCATGTTTTGCTTATGCAAAGTCAAAAACCAAAGCTAGTGAGGGTATTGGCGACTTGTTAGATGAACGTGGCAACCGTGTATCAGACGACAAAAGCGAAGCAGACGTTCTAAATTTTCTGTAGTGTTTTCACTAAGGAACAGACTGAAGATATACGGGAGGCAGAGAAAAAAAATGTTAGCATTTTCTTGAGGAGACAGTGCTAAAGGAGTTGAAGAACTTAAATCCCTCTAAGTCTCGAGGACCTGATGGATTATACCCATGTGTTCTCAAAGAACTAGCCGACCAGTAAGCGGATCCATTTGCCCTACTATTGGAGAAGTCGCTCTCTAAGGATAAACTACCCAGTGTTTTGAAAGATGCCAACGTAACGCCTCTTTTTAAGAAAGGTTGAGAATGTAAGGCTGATAACTACCGTCCTGTGACTCTGACGTGTATACTGCGTAAACTTTTTCCAAAGCGTTTAATTGCTAGTGTGCCAGCCTACTCGAGAAGCTCAAGTCATATGATGTTAACTCGAGTGTGCTAAAATGGATTCAGAGCTTCCTGATGGCAGGAGGCACGTGTCATGGATGGTCACCACTGGCCCGTTTTTGTTTGTGATATACATCAATGACTTGCCAAGTATTGTGAAATCGCTGTGTGAGATGTACGCTGATGACACCAAAGTTTTCTCTCGGGTAGACAAATATGAGTTCATAACTCAGCTCCAATCGGATCTGGACAGTCTTGTAGCACGGGCCGACACATGGCAACTTCGTTTCAATGCGGACAAATGTCACATACCCTACTTTGGTCACAATAATCCCCACCATACGTACTGCATGAAGAAACACGACTTAGAAGATGTAGTGACGCTAGAAACCTCCGAGGTATAAAAGATCTCGGTGTGTTAATAAACAACAAACTCAAGTTTTCCGGTCACATTCAAACTCAAGTGAGCAAAGCAAATCGGCTTGTAGGCCTGATTCGCAGATCATATACATATTTAGACAAGGACTGCTCATTGTCGCACATGTGCGTCCCCACTTTGAGTTTGGCAACGTAGCATAGTCGCCCGGGCAGCGGGGCGATAAAAACTTGATAGAAAGTGTGCTAAAATGTGCGTCCAAAAGTGTGCCTTGTCTGAAAGAACTTACATATGAGCAAAGACTGAAGAAGCTTAACCTTCCAAGTTTAGAATACAGACGGACCAGAGGGATCTTATTGAAGTATATAAACACACACATGGTTTCTACCCAGTCAACCAGGCTGGACACTTCTGGCGTCACCAGGGGCCACCAATTTAAGCTGTACAAGCAAAGATGCAGCTGAGTCTCCGACAGAACTTTGTGCAGAATACCTAGTCCCCCTGAAAATATCAAGTCTCTACGACTACGAGGTGTGAAAGGGCAATAGCGCCCATATTCATATTTGTAACATAATTGGCCTATATTTCCTTGTCGGTCAACTTTTGCAAAATATTTGGTGCCATTCTTGTCGGTGGTTAGTAGGACCCGTTTAATTCGCCTTCAATCTCAGGTGAATTCACAAATTTAAAAATACAATTGGGCTCGGTACAGGGGAGATAACTGTAATTGTGCGCAAGGTATCGGGTACTAGAAAGAAAAGATGTGTATAACGAGTAAGGTACATTTTACGACGTAATGTAACATTTTGGATTAATAGTTCCTGGAATATTTGTCTTGACCTTTTCTCGCGATTTGGTTCAATGTAATTGTAAGTTTTAAATTGAATTTCGCCCTTATTTTTGACAGTAAGATCAATTTAGGAGTCTGCAGAAATGGGTTAATGTGTTAAGGGAGGTAACTTCAATCGAATGTTTGGCGGCAGACCACCATTGATTTTATTATCACTTTCCCAACCAAAATTTTCGTTGGGCTTTCTGCTTTTCTTTGCAGACAGAGTAACAAATGTACCATGGCTTTACGCCAAAATTGTATAAGGTTGACAACTGAAATTTTAAGATACTCAAACTTGATGTCTTTTATTCTTCCGGCTCTAAACCAGAAAAGGGAGGGAGAGAGAGAGAGACAGAATTGCATGTAGACTACCAGTAGTATAGACCAACAACAAATTGTGGGTTCCAAGGTGCTAGTGAAATTTAATGATGATCTGCCTCCATTAGATATAAAGCACAGTGGCAGCTTAAAGTAGTACCAGTATAATTTCCATATAAATTTAAAATTGATGGTCTGATAAGTTGATTTTATATAATTTTTAAAATATATTCCACAGGTCAAATTATAGTATGCGAGTGAAGAAAAAGTATGCAAAACCCAGAGAGTAAGAGGAAAAGGCATTCGATAGAGGAGGAAAAAGAAGATACGCCAAAGATCAAAAAACCTAAAGAAGACAGATCAAAAGATTTGCTTACAAAGACAACTGAAAGAGAAGAAGATTGGGAATTATGGGGACCATATTTATCTGAGCGTCAGTGGGGTACTGTCAGGGAGGATTATAGTTCAGACACTGATAGGTAAAAATATTTCTTTAGTGCCTGTAATTATTTCTGGTACAGATTTTCTGTTTATGATATCATTAATTCTAAATATTCTCAGAAGAATACCATATTATATCAGATATATGAAATTTAATTTCTTTTAACTGTTAATTTTTAAAATATAATTTCAATGATTTTTTTGGGGTTATATGTTTTAGTTGGAACTATGTAACGTATGACAAAGCTATAGGATATAGCTATAAGTGGGGAGAAGATGGTTTATTAGGATGGTGTGATAGACAAGCTAGAATGTGTACTGCTCTTGCTGTATGGAATGGTAAAGATAATATTTTAAAGGAAAGATTATTTGGTTTATCAGGTCCACAGGTTAGTAATATAGCAAATAAATAATATGGTTGTACATTATATGCTAGTAAAGAGCGTATAGGCACATATATATTCATTTGAGAAAGTAATTAAAAGTATATGCCAGTCTAGGAATCTGTTGTCTATAGTTTCACTAAACAGCCCATAGTTACATATGGATTTTGATGCAAGTTTAAGATTAAATAACCGACATTTAATTTTTAATTTTCTATCCACTGTATCGTTCAACCCATCCACACAGTGTCCATCTCTAAATTTTAGAATTTGTATATATTTTTCTGTTTGTAGGGTAACCATGGTGAAGATGTAAAAGAGTTATATTATTATATAGATAGTTTACCAGATCATAAATATAATACAGCTGTATATAAATATTCACAATCACCATATCCTTATAAACAAATACTAGATAGTAATAAACAACTAACCAAGTCTACTACAGAACTAGAACTACTCGATACAGGTATATACGTTAAAACCTTTTAACACTTGGACTGTCTAAAACAACCTGCATCTAGCTGTGGCAGCTCTAAGAACTAGTGAACGATCCTATAATATACAGATAGCTATTCTTTTATCAGTTGTTTCAGCTGTCCCAGGATATTACATGCCAGTTTAGACTATATCACTTTTCTCTAAGTTTCTTCAAAGGACCAAAGTAGTCAGTATTTACAAGCACCCATATATTTTTATGTGTCATTTAGATAAATTTGTCATTTAAAATATGTATTATACCTAAAAAAAACCAAAAACTGACAGTTATATGGGACAACACTGGTTTATTATACACAAGCACGACGTTTCGATAAGTATCCTCTTATCGTTATCAGGCACGTGTATTATACCTGTACTATAAAAAACCTGCAGATATAAAAACAGCAAAAACTACTGGTAGTTAGTTAAATGTATGTAAACTTCTACAAAGGGTCAGCATACCCTACATATTGCACAACACCCATCACTAGTAATAGCTAAATGGGGAGATATATTTACCTGAATTTCAGAAATGGGGTTTAAGATAACTCTAGGACACACACCAACAGAATTACAATCTGTTTTAAATACAAGATACAACAAAGTTGCTTAAGTTGGTTATATGAACTCATCAAATGTGAAGTGGTATCAAGTGTTCTAGAAAGAGTAAAAATAAAAGCATACACAGCCTAAGCATGACAATAGTTTTGACAAAAATAGGCTACTGATTTTGGGGTCATACGTCACGAGCATAATCCTCTTTCCAGTAAATCACAATTTAAATGCAACTCCCCATCTAGAGATGAATGCTATTAATTTTACACATATTGAATGATAGATATTGTTATTGGCAGATTAATCGATTGGTTTCAAAAATTTATAAGAATGAACAAATTTTTAACAAAGAGTTGTTAGAGCCCTATATGATATCACTGGGGGTTTAAAGAAATTGCCAATGAAAGTCATTATTGGTGCACCGCTAGACCCCTACTATATCAATCATCCTTTTTACCCAAGAGTTGTTCAACCCCTATCATCCTTAACCCAGGCCCCTGAGTTCACAAAGTAATCTCACACTTAAGTTAGGAATTTACTCAATTGTCAATAACTGTTTATATAACTGCCAAGGGATCTTTTACGTGTATACATTGGAATGCACGTAAAAGATCCCTTGGCAGTTGGAATTCGATATAAGAGTAGGCGATAGTGCCGCTGCCCGGGCAAAATTTCCCTCATAGCACACTGTATGGCGTATGCCCGTCTTCATTAGCCCAGTATAGGAGCAGAACAGTAGGACGTTAAACACCATTTCATTTCTTTTCATTTATATAAGAATTATCTTTGATCCAGAAACACAAAACTATGCACATGTATTTTATACATTAAAACAATGAAAGTTTTATAAAGAGTCATATTTTAGGTAAAATAAGGTGAACAATTTTCAGTAAATTTTAACGAAAGTCTGAGAATGTTTTGTGAACTCGGGGGTCTCATGAGTTCTGACTGTTTTTGAACCAATGATGAGATTACACCTCATTACAGAGTTTATAAGACTAGGAAGATAGTATTGATATTTGATATATCAGATATATTTAATGATGGATATATTTCATATATAGTCAATGATGGATATTTTTCAGATATATTCAATGATGGATATTTTTCAGATTTATTCAATGATGGATATTTTTCAGATTTCAGATATATTTAATGATGGATATATTTCATGTATATTTAATGATGATATATTTTAGGTATATTTAATGATGGATATTGGGATATAAATATAGAATATATTAAAGCTACACCTACCACAATATATTGTAAATGTACTGTAACAAATCATGGTAAAAATACAGACACTTTATACGTTCTACCTCAAGTATGGTTCAGGTATAAAGTCAAACTTTATAGGAATATTTTAATTTAAATTAACAAAATTTCTCGATGCTTCATGTATGATCAACCATCGTTTATTTTAACTACTTTATGTTAAATGGATACAACATCTTTGGTTTCGGTGAAATGTCACTTTAATTAAGTTGGATGTATTGATTTTTTTTTTGTAAAGTGGAAATCTGGTAGCATACCTAGAGGGTGGGGAGGGGGAGGGGACAGGCTGCACTTTGTGTTAGGGAGAATTTGTAAGACAGTAGAAGGATATGCAAGCTGCCAGGTTTATTCTCCCATGTCACAACTGGTTTTTGTTCCAATGGTTTAAGCATGTTGGATGTGTATTGTATTGTGTTTTTCGTGGGGGGGTGGGGGGGGTAGGGGGGTGCAACTGCAAACCCAAGGACCCCCTTGACCTGCACAGACTCTAATTACACAACTGACCAATGCCAATTTAACAAATACTTACATTGTTTCAGAAATACTTGGAGTACAAGAACGGGAAGAAATCCAGAACTTAAACCAAAACTTGAAAAACAAACAGACAACAGTGTATCTGCTGAATACATGTTAGGTAATATAACAATTATTGTTCATTTTATTAAACCCCAGGAAAGTTTATAGTCTACACACCATGGACTACAAATCACAATTTATTCTTAGACAGCTCTGACTAAAAGAATAGATCATGCACACATTTTTTTCCGATTAAATATTGTCTTCCCATCAGTCACAATAAAAATCTTACAAACTGTTTATCTTCCTAGTGGACGACTCTTGTCTATGGTTAATGTCTCGTTAGGTTTAGCATCTACATAGCTGACAAGGAGAGTGTATATGTGTAGTCTAATCATTGGCATAGGTTAAAAAAAATAAGGGTTCACCCATGTACAAATTGGCATTCATGTAAAAGAACCCTTCACTGTTAAAATTCATAGAAAATGCCAAAATTCTCTTTTAGCAATGAATATGTGATCATAATAAAAACATGTCCATTTCCCAACTGTATCCATATTGTGCTTCATTACGACAAAAGAATCATTGGTGAAACATTGCTCCTATTAAATTCAGTAACGGTGTTCCAATAAATTTTAGGTTTAATTTTAAAGTAAAACCATCTAGCTCAATCACAAAATGACAGAAGTGCTGTGTTGAAGAAACAATAATACAATCCTTTCCTATCTATATCGAGTGGCATCTTCAACAAATTTGTACAAATTCACAGTTCTTTAAAGCAGAAATTGCAAATTTTTAAGTTATATTTTTAAAATTTATTAAAATAAAGCCTGAAAATAGATGGTATCCATAAACAGTCCTACCTTGTTAAAGAATAATCCTATTAATCCTATAATTCACTGTTGCCAGCTGAGATATTCGCAAAAATATCATTTTCCTCTTCATTTTCAAATGTTTGAAAAAAGCTACTCCATGCTGGAGAATAGAAAACAAGGGAGGTAATTGTGTTATTATTTCCTGTGTAAATGAGTTTTAAGTGTGAGAATGACACCTATGATCGTATAATTGTGAGTTGACAACCTATTGAGCAAAAGACATAGAAATAATTACATTTTGACTTTCTTAGAAAATTTGCAATTTCCGCTTTAATATGTTTCTCTGTGTCTTAATTTTTTTTACTTTGATTGACAGGTAAATATATAGTAGAGTTTTTACCTGTAGAGAAGAAAGATGTAGATATCATATTTACTGATAATCATACATCACCTTTATATACACCAGATACTTCACAAACAGACATAGATTCAGATGTTAGCAAGTTTTCTAAAGATGCTTTTCATCAATATATTATTCATGGTAGGTCATAAACAGATTTTAGATAAAAGAATAAAGATGTTTTTGTGTGGTGTCATTTTCATGACTCTTCTCCATCATATAAACCAATATAATGGAAAAATGATAGTGGGATAATAGTTTCCAGTCATCTGAATATTGATATAGATTCGTAAATAATTATATTGAAATACTGTTGATTCAAAAATAGGAAATATTGGGATCATTTTGCAAGCTACCCATGCTCTCTGTGTATCGAACAAAAGACGACATTAAAGATACTATTTAACATGGAGGGATCGCCATCCCATGTCATCGAATCGCTGAAATCTACGTTAGTGAAGAGCCACAGCATCAATCACAGCCATTCTGGGATATTGCTTCACTGAATTTTTTTAACAAAAACTCAATTAAATCTTGCATGACACCCTATATGTAGTTAAAGTTAATTAATAGTTGATGATGACGTGAATTCTAGAGAATTAAATAGAGCATCCTCTTTCTGTACTCACGGCCATGTTTAGTTGAATTAAATCGTCATCATCATCATAAACATCTGTGGCATTGACATATATAGTCTCTATCATCCAGAAAAATATTCTACGAATATTAGTCTGGATGCATTTTCAACATTTGAGAATGGCTTTCTTAAATCAATTTCATGGGCGTCACCATCTTGTAAAAAAACAGATCATCATCATCAATGGCTTTGCATTGAAATAAAAAGAATATTTCTGAAGAATGAAAACATCATCATCATTATCGATGGCTTGCATTGAAATAAAAAGAAATATTTCTGAAAAGTGAAATCATCATCCCCATCACCACCACCACCACCATCATCATCATCATCATCATCATCATCATCATCATCATAATCATACACAGCTTTGCATTGAATAATAATAAAATTTCTAAAGATTGAAATTAGAAAATTGTTTATGAATAGGAAGAAAGAATGCAGTATACCCTAGTCAGTGTGGAACAAAATGTGCTGCCATTCACAAAATAAAACTAACAGCTGGTGGGAGTCAAATGATATACTGGACCATAAAAGCTATCAATGATAGACCAGATCAGAATATTTCATCAATTTCAAGAATAGAAGACGTTCTTGCAAAAAGAAAGTTAGACGCTGATGAATTTTATTCAAAGGTTTGTATAAATTTGGTAACAGAACTAATATTCTGTTTTTAATTTGCTTTTAATTATTTATTAGATGTCTATTTATTTATCTTGACCCCAACAACCAAAAATTAAGTTGGTTTAGCCTAAATGACAAATAAATTTCAATAGATTATAATAATGTTTATAGATTTTACCAGAAGAATGGAGTAAAGAAGAAAAGAGAATATGTAGACTAGCTATGGCTGGATTATTATGGTCTAAACAGTTTTATTATTACCATGTACAAACACATCAACATGGTGAGCGGCCATAATATTACTATATCTTATTGAGAGAGAGAGAGAGAAATGGGGTTTAACGTCCACTCAACACAAACTAGGTCATTTCGGGACTAACATATTGTTTAATTTTATTTCAATAATTCGCTTGCGCGTAGGGGTCTTTAGCAGTGGCAGGAAACCGGAGGACCTGGAGAAAACCCACGAAGCTGGACAGGCTACTATATCTTATTGAACATACTCATGTTATATATTTGTGGGATTCTAAAAGATACAGTATACTTACAAAAAGTGTCAAATAAATATTTCGAGTTGCATTTGTCATGTATTGTTGTTTCACTAACTAGGAAGTCCGGGTTAGATTCTGGTGTTAGCTAAGACAGTTCATCAGGATTTTCCAACATGAACTTCCCTTGTGAGTGACGCATGACAGAGGTAGCCTCTAGTTGTTTGGATTGAATGAAAATTGAGTTCCTGTGGTGTGCACGTAAATTATCCCTTGTCAAGTGTAAGTCGACAAAGAGTAGTTATAAACGCTGCTGTTCAGACAAAATTTCCCTCATAGCACAGAGCATGGTGTGTTTAGTCCGATTGGTGCAGAAAAGTAGGATGTTAAACCTCATTTCATTTCAATGTTTCTCATGTACTGAGCACAAGAAATTTCTCTATGAACAAAATGTTATTAAAATTAATCTGGATAAAAACATCTATGCACCACAGGATTAGCCAGTTCATAATAAAAATTTATTTCTTGTTAAATCTTTAAAACAAATAATTATGGTTGCACAAAGACATGTTTGATAATAAATTTGTTATTATGCAACTTGTTTTACAGAAGTTGAAAAAGTTAATTCAACATATAATGATGTAAAGTTATGGAATAAACATTGGAAACATTTAAAGAACCATGATATAATATCTGTACCAGATAAATGGGAATTTCCGTGGGTAAATATCTTTTACCAGATTAGAGCAATTAAAGTAATGTCCTTTGTAATAATATTTTACAATAATAATAAGCCAAAAATGTGTGACAATGTACTGTGATTACAAATTAGAAAAATTAGATTTTATTGCAGTTCACAATCCCATAAAGATAAGGTTGGATGGACCTTTGGCCACAGAGGTTAAGTAGATGCTAACTGTTGCTAATAGGAGCTAATTGGTTAGAGTTAGGGTTAAAAACCTCTGTGGTTGAAATGTCCATCGCGGAAATATTTTTTATTTCATCATGAAATGTTTTAAGGGCTGTCCTGTATATTTTATTGATATTTTGGAATTTTATGCATAGCTTCCCATCCTTGAATAAAACACACTTGTTTCTAGATTGTATTTCTTGTATTATTTCAGTATGCACCGTGGGATTTAGCTTTCCATATGATTACATTCTCCAGACTTGATACACATTTTAGTAAAAAACAGATGCTGTTGTTTTTATCTGATAGATATATGAAACCTAATGGCCAGGTATAGAGATTCATTTCTAGATAATATATGCCCCATAAATCACCAAAAATAACAACAAAATTGTTAAAACATAAATGATTATTATTTTGATACAAGTGATATGCCTCTTGATGCAACTTCAATATATTCTCAAAGATAAACTATGATTTATTATATTATTTAGAGACCTAGTATAGTTTTCTCCAGTAAATAATCAGCAACATTTAAAAATCTTGTATGTGTGCTATATTGTATGGTTATGTGAGTGATCTACTCTAAATTTGTGCTTGTGCGTAATTTTTGTACATAAGTTTTGTATATATATTGTATGTTGTCCTTAAGAATTGTAATTTAAGATGAACACTGACCAACTTGGCTTTATTTGTTGATTATTGACAATTATTACTATCTTAACAAACAGGCAGTAAAATTTGCATAGAAGGGTAGAAAATATCAGTAAATTAGTTTATTATAATATGCTTTAATTATGGTATGTATGAGATTCTTACAGAGATTCTAAAATTTTTAAGCTTATAATTATTTGATTATAGTTACCTGGCTGTGAATATGATATGGATGCTACCAATCCTCCACTTCATGCCTGGGCTTGTTTTAAAATTTATATGATGGATAAAGCACAAGACAAGATGTTTCTACAAGACTGTTTTCAAGGTCTACTGAAGAATTATAACTGGTGAGAACCAACTATGAGGAGGAAAAAGAGAGAGAGAGAGAGAGGTTAAGGTCCACTCGACACAAACTAGGTCATTTTCGGACTAACACATGGTTCAATTTTATTTCATTAATTCGCTTGCACGTAGGGGTCTTTAGCAGTGGGAGGAAACCGGCGGACATGGCGAAAACCCACGAGATTAGACAGGTGATCCTACTCCTTTTCACGTACAACTGGGGAATCGAAACCACGCCAGTTGACTCAGTGACAGACTTATGATGCACCGCACACACGCTGACCATTTGGCCAGCCAACCCCCTCCTTGGTAAAATAATCTTCTGTCTTCTTTTCAGGTGGCATAATTCATTAGACCCTGATAAATGTCATCTATATGGTGGTGGATTTCTAGGGTTGGATAATATCAGTGTAATTGATAGAACAGCCAGTAATTTACCACCAAATTGCAAGCTGTTACAGGTAACAAACACCATTAATTACACGTTAAGGTTCTTTCTTTTCACAACAAGCTATGAATTTAAACAAATACCCTAATTATATCTGTATTACCTTTTATGTTTTTTTGTATGGCCCTAATAATAACTAGATATAATAGTGTTGCAGTGTAATATATCAGGTGATAGATTGTGATTTCTGTATTGTTCTGAATTAACAGAATTGCAATCAAGTGAAACTGAAGAATTGAGTACAGTTTCACCATTTCTGATAACTGAGGACACGAGGTGTAATTAAAATATGAGCTCTAGTGATTGGTTGGGACAGTCATGTGGACGTATTATGCCATCATCCCAGTTCATCCAGACATCCGTCCACAATTTGTTAGTGAACACTCTGCAGGTCACAATTTTTATCCGATTTTGACAAAACTTACAATTTAGGCAGGTCTATCTCCCAAAGATCTTGGTTCCTTTCGATATTGGCATGTATCGGACCATAACTTCATGGATTATGGTCCCTGATTGTACAAAAATCACACTTTTAGCTTGTGGACACACTAGAGGTCACAATTTTCACCCAATTTTGATGAAAATTAAAATGCGTGTTTATAACCCAAAGATTTGGGTTTCTTTCGATATTCGCGCATATCCAATCATAACGTCCTGAATTATGGCCCCTGACTGTACGAAAAATCACATTTTTAGCTTGTCCCTCTAGAGGTCACAATTATTATCTGATTTAAAAATGTTTGAATATATCACCGTTACACCGTAATATTGGTTGAGTTCGAATTTCGTGAAAATCGGTCCAAAACTGTCGGACAAAATGGCCGCCGCTCGTATGCAGATAGTGTGAACATCTGGTATATCAAGGTTGTGGGCCCTCTAGAAGTCACAATTTTGATCCGATTTTGATGAAACTTGAAATGCATGTTTATAACCCACAGATCTCGGTTCCTTTCAATAGTCGTGCATATCGGATTGTGACTTCCTGAATTATGGCCCTTGATTGTACAAAAAATCTTTAGAGGTCACACGAAGGTTGTGGGCCCAATTTTTATGAAACTTTAAACATCTCTTTATATCCCACAGATCTCACTCTCTTTTGATATTTGCGCATTTCAGACCATAACTTTCTGGATTATTGCCCCTGTACGTTTTTAGCTTGTTCTCTATCCATCTCTTGCAAAATGTGGGTGTATCCTTTCTGGCAGCCTCTGGTCATTTCAGAAATTTGAAAGCATAGATAAACAATGTAACTTTTAATGATTTTTTCAGAGTGATGCTACAGGTTGGATGGGGTTTTATTGTTTAACTATGATGGAGATAGCTCTAGAATTATCTTCTATAGATCAGACATATTTAAATAAAGTAGAAATCTTTTTAGATCTGTTTTTAATAATTGCTAATCAGATAAACCAATCAGTAACTTCAACAGGTAATTTATTTCCAACATTTTTTCATTGGGTTGCAGCTAGTTGTGTAGTCAGAAAACTGGCATGTCCTAGGTTTGAATCCTGGAGTGAAGAACCTTTTGGATTTTTCAAGCCCAGTGTTCACTTGTCAGGGGTAGGAACTGGGAGGCTGACAATGAAAGTATGCCTAGTCACTCGGATGGGATGGAAAACTGAGGTCCTCTTGTGTACACCATGGTATATGGACACTCCTGATTAATACATGTCAGTTTATCCTTGTGGATAATCAGGTTATCTATCACCTAAAAATATCTGAACATATCTTGTTTCTACAACTTCTAAAAAAATTTAAAGGATCAATAAGATAATAGGCCTTAAGTGTTGGCTTAACTTTGGGTATTCACTTTTGTCAACTTATTAATGCCATTTCAAGCCAATCAGCTAAGATTAAACCATTTCTAACTTCTAACTATGCACTGACTGATCATAATTCAGAAATTCAGTGGCAATAACAGTTTTTTGTATAAATATATTCCTTGGTTGAATCATGGACCTTGTATTATAAGGACCATGGTTGAATATTTATAAACCTGATTATGAAAGAAATAAATATAGCTGTAATTAATTAACTTAAGCTGTTTTATAACTTTATATTTGTGTAGGATTATGGGATGAGGAAGACAAATTTTTCTATGATGTCCTGATATCTGGTAAAGATCGCAAACCGTTAAAGATAAGATCTTTAGTTGGTATTGTTCCATTATTTGCCTGTAGAGTGATCCATCTTGACACACCATCATCCAGCCTTTCTACAAAACTTAATTCAACCAGGAGATTTGTAAGTTGCAGGTTATCTTCAACTTGTAATTTTATTGTAGTTTCCTATAAATTAGGAGTTTTTTCAGTTTTAGAAGAGCACAGACATATGCTGTCTGGACACACTCCCTTGTGATAGGCTGTGCACATCATGTAATTGTACAAGTGCATATTTATTCATAAAGAAATAGCTGAATAAGCGATTTAGTTTGAAGCATTGGCACTTGGGTGATTATTTTCTATCTGAAGGGATATTTCAGTTAGATTGTATGCCAAAATTGAGATCAATATGTCAATCCATGACGGAGGTATAGACATTTTAGCTCTCAGTTTGCAAGCCCATATGCATATGAAATGAAATAGGGATTAACCAGGCGGTATGCAATATGGACATTTTGCCTGAACAGCAGCATTTCCATCTACACTTCATCGAATTTCAACTGCCAAGGGGGTTGTTTAGGTACACACCAACGTGTACACAGGACCTCAGGTTTTCACACTAGCCAAACAACTAGACACTGTTCCTTACCAGGCCCCCCCCCATCCTACACCACTGACAAGGCTGGCCAGAAAATCACAAGGAACTTTCACTAACTACTACAGCCTTAGTAGTTTAACAAACCCTTCTGCAAAATTAAGAGCAAGGATTTTTGATAATTAGGTTGTCTAAAATTTATTATACGTAAAAGTGATGAGGTCTCTTTAGATGTAAAATTAGCACAAATTTTTTATTGCAATAGTTATAATATGTTTACTATTGCAGATAAAACCATTAAATAATAATAGATATCTGATATCACTAGTAGAGGAAGTTAGATTAAAGGAAATATTTAATACAGTATTTAATACACAGGAGTTTTTATCACCATATGGTATTAGATCATTATCAAAGGTAGGTCAAATGCTAGAATTATTACCTGTTAAAAATGTTATGTAGGCGACCAGTTACGTATGTTTCTATTACATCATTTTCGAAATCATATTAACTAACTTTTTACAGGTTTATCTTTAACCATTTAATTAAGAAAACAAAACCAGAATGTCATTGGTAGATAATCTCCCGATTTGAATTCAATCGGATGAAAAAGAGGCCCACCAAAAGATTTGATGAAACACCCAAGCTGCAGAATGCATTGGGGAATCATCAATGATCATCTTTGTAAATACTGAATGGAATTGAAATTGAACCATTTTTATACGCCCACATTTTCATTTGGACGTATATTGTCGTGTTACTTGAAATGTATGTATATAACCCAAAGATCTTGGTTCCTTTCGATAATCGCGTTTTTAGCTTGTGGTCCCTCTAGATGTCACAATTTTTATCCGATTTAGAAAACTGTTTAAATATGTCACCGTTACACCATAATGAAGGTTGAGTTCGAATTTTAGCTTGTTCTCTATCCATCTCTCTTGCCTGGTAACTGCTGGTTATATTCAACTTTCACAATTTTATAGTTTGCAGGAGATTAAAAATCCTTCCAATGATCATTTTTAATGTAAAACTACTAACCATAAAATTTGCATAAAGCATTTAAATTTACAAAAACACATTTAAGATGCATTATGTAAGAGCAGGTCTTTCTTTTGGCTTCAAATGTTATATTAATTATTAATTAGACATTTATTTACGTAACAACCCTATAACCAACTTTCTAGATGATCTGATGGCTGACATTTAGTGGATTAAAATATCCGCGAGAATTAAAAATTTAATGATAAAACAGATAATTGAGGCTAAGTCTTTGTTTTCAAGAACCGTTGCTAGATAATGAACAATCTACGCTGCTAGATCTTGTCAAACCATAAAACGCTCATAACTTCGCTCAGAATAAAATAATTTGAATGAAATGTTCAATATATTCATTTCACATTATCTATTTTGGACCTTTTAGAGTAAGAATGGACAGCTCTCTACCTAAATCTTAGATAATGCATCTTTAACAAAATGATATATTAGTGAAAGACGTGAACAATCCAGGAAACAACCAAAGGAACCCATCATTGGAAATATCAAAATTGAAATGATTGACACAACAATTTTTGATCCCAGGATTTCAGATTGAATGATAACATACAGACTTTATGAAATAAATCTCTTAGATTACCGGTTAACAAATTGTTACAACAAATATATATCATGACTTACTCTGTATAGGTATATGAGATTCCCTATGTAACAGAGATAGATAAAAAGAAAATGTCGTTATCATATTGTCCTGGAGAATCAGATAGTAATATGTTTGGTGGTAACAGTAATTGGAGAGGACCTGTATGGTTACCAAGTAAGTGACTTTTGTCCTGTAAGGTATACATCTGGGCCCTGTTTCTCGAAATCTTAACTAAAGATAAAATCCAAATTTTAGTAGATACTTCAATTTTGATTGGCTAAGTTCTAAAATCAATCTAATATTATCCAATCAAATTACTAAAATTTGGATTTTATCTTAGTTAAAATTTCGTGAAACAGACCCCAGAGCTGTTACAAGGTATACATCATGGCTTTAAAATAGTCTCTTTCCATTATTATTTTTTTTTCAATTTTTTAAAACTTTGTAAGAAAAAGAATGATAGTAGTAAAGGTGTTTTAATGTTTATGTACATAATTATTTCTGTAATGTAAATGGACAGATGGTTCATTTTAATCCAAAATCAAATTGACCATAGGTACACCTATGCTCAAACTGATAAACTATTTCTCTTTATATATATATATATGTATTATATCAGTGAATTATATGTATTATTTCAGTGAATGATATGTATTATTTCAGTGAATTATATGTATTATTTTCAGTGAATTATATATTTATGGATAGTTTGAGTATATATAATACAGCATATAGTGATATGAAACTACCCTATCCATCAAACAGTAATAATACATTAGATTTAACCAGTATTATACATGATATCAGTAGTAGAATTATTTCTATATTTTTACCTGATAAACATGGTATTAGACCTCTACATGGTAAGTTTATTATCTTATATACTGGTACAGGAGCCATGGTGGCTCAGTGAGTAAGATGCTGGCTCGCTAACCTGGGTGTCTCAGGTTCTTTCTTGTGTTGGCCGAGAAAGTTTCTTGGGGTATTCCGGTGCTGTTTCCCTGTGACGGTGGTGAGGGACAGGGGACTTGGCAAGGATAGTGTCTAGTCGTTCGGATGATATGTGAAACTATGGTCACATGTATAAGTTGGTGTGCATGTAAAAGATAGCTTAACAGTTGGAATACGATATAAGAGTAGACTGTAGTGCCGCTGTCCGGACAAAATTTCCCCCATAGCACACTGTATGGTGTAATAATGACCAGTCTTCATTAGCCCAATCAGAGCAGAAAAGTAGGACGTTAAACCCCATTTCATGATTCTTAAAACAGTTTTCAAGCTATATGGTTTTGATTTTACTGTTGTGCAGTGTTTTTATTCCCTCATATCCACATATTATACAGCATGTGTACCTTACTTTTAGGCCTTTGCGGTCTTTATATTTAAGGTGAACGTTACTCTTACTGACTTTTTAAATTTTGATCATCTTGATTATTTTGTGAAATATATTTGGATGTTATTTATTTTCATGCTCAGTTTTCTAATTGTTATATGTATTTGTAGGAAATATTAAAGAATATAATAAAGATGGTAAATGGGAAGATTTGGTATTATTTTATGAATACTTTAATGCTGAAACTGGTAAAGGCTGTGGTGCCAGGTAATATTTTTATTGAATATCACCGAATTTCATGTTACACTGTAAAATATTCAGTCTGGACATTAGCACAGCATTAATTCAAAATCGACCTTCTTTTTGTTTTGTTTATATTTCATTAATATGTACATTCTGCCATTTATCAAGATTGTGACTGTATCAATGTTTAAGAGATTTTTGCATGAAATAATTAATTTTAACTGGATAATCAGAAAACTTGATCTGATTATAGTCGTGTTTATATTTCAGTCATCAAACTGGATGGACATCACTTATTGTAGAATTCATACATCTATTCTATAAAACCAGCTGATGAATAATTGATATAGCTATATTATCTAACTTATTCTTTACATCTTTAATATATATATATACTAATTATCCTGGCCCGAAGATCGTTTCTGGAGCACATTTCATAAACCGTTATGTGCTTTGGGTTGATTGGGGATTTTTCCGTTGAATAATTTTTGTGTTACCCACTCTTACATAATTATTATACGGTGCATATCTTATTGAATTATTGAAAGTTAAAGCTATCTAACAACATGTACACTACTAGTATTTGGTTGTTGAACACCAATAACACAGAGATTGTCTATAACTGTACCTTGAAAAACATGTCCAAGGGCACAGGATGTAGATGTTTACGTATGTTTTAGATGAAATTTATAGATTTTAAGAGACTTTTACAGAGTGCTATAGTTATCACTTTTTTATGTCTGTTGAAAATACAAGTTAATAAACTATACACAATTACCTGAGATTTTTTGTCCACTCTTTCAAACAGATTTATGGTACCATACAATATGGTGTTGTAGTATTAAATACAATCCAGAGAACCCAAAATACTACATCCTTTGTTTCTTGGAATGCAATTAAATAGGGTATGAGACTAAAGGGATTTATGTCGGCCAACAAAATACGATCAGAAGCAGCTTTTTGCAGAGGGGAAGCAAGGAAAGGACTTCCAATATAATAGAGGGTGTACAAGGTTTCTGTGACAGAAGCAGTAACTAAAGGGGCAAAGGACAGAGTTTCTTCCAAACAATCCCAGCAGAGTTGAATATAATCAAATTTTCAAACACTCCAATCTGTAGAGCATTTACAAGTAACACCATGTAAAATTGATGTCAAACATTCCTGGCATGTTTGAAGAAGAATCCTAAAAAAACTGACCTGTTGGGCATTTACTAAAATAGTGAACAGACAAATGGACAGATCCCTGTGGATATGGGTAACTATAATATACTCCAAGAAATATTGTAGGCCTATACAAATTAAGCAAAGGAGAGAGAGGGAAATGGGGTTTAATGTCCACTCGACACAAACTAGGTCATTTCGGGACTAACACATGCTTTAATTTTATTTCAATAATTTGCTTGCGCGTAGGGTCTTTAGCAGTGGGAGGAAACCGGAGAAAACCCACGAGGCTGGTTAGGCAACCCTACTCCTTGTCACATACAACCGGGGGGAATCAAAACCACGCCATTTGACTCAATGACAGACCTTATGATACTGCGCACACATGCTAACCATTCGGCCATCCAACCCTCCTAAGCAAAGGAGACTAATTAAGCAGCTACATTCATGAAGCAACTGATAACTTATTTTACTGACAGCTTAGAACTCATCCCAATGCATATATGTGATTGTTTTATCCCACTTGATCAAGGCACTAAAAGTGTTTTCTTCAAACAATCTAATTGGTTCTTTATACAATGTAAAGTGTTTTCTTTAAACAATCTGACTGGCTCTTTATACGATGTAAAAGATTATGATCTTTCCTGATGCTAAGCTCTTACATTTTTGTCATTTTGTACCCTTGAACAACTAGTGGTCCTCATAAAATGATATCAATTTACTGATGAAGAATGAAATGTACATGTATATGCCAAAAAACAATAAAAAAATAAACAATGTAATTAATTTATTTCATGTTTTAACAAAGTTTTGATTTGAAAACAACAATGTCAAATAACACTATATATTTATATATATATATCACTGTTATTACAGTAGAAATACATGTCCACACAATTTACTTTAAACTTCCCACTTTAAGGTGAATTAACTCTTACACTTAAAAGACAACTTTACTCCATGGGGACACTCCATTGCATGAGCAAATTTGAGGATTTCAAACGGCAAGGCATACACAACGCTAATATAACACTATCAACTAATCGCCATAGGTGACACCAGTTCCACAAAACTTGTATCGTATCAGGACTGGCAGAACTCAATGCTTTTTTTTCACTTGATGGCAATTCTAACAATTTGAAACCTTTCAGACTTGCGATGAAGCACCCCCAAGTTTACTATGCAAGACCAATACTGTTTTTATAATAAACATAATCTAAAGCCAGTTTTGTGTCGATAGTCAATCTCCACTGTAACAATTAATAGTACATGTAACTGTCCTTTAAAGCTAACAAGACTGTCGACAAAACTTTTTGATGGATTGTTGGCTTAAGAGAAATTGTCCTGATTTCTTCTGAATTTTGACTGGGTTTATAATACAACAGCGAGTTGTCAAAGGATCTAGAGGTCAACCCTATATACAATTACAATAATATCATAGTTCAAATGAAGGATGAATATATACAATTATAAATATATGATAAACTATACATAATATACACTTATGAATGAGGTTTATAAAGGGGGGAAAACAGTGTAAAGTTTACTTTAAATAGTTTCATTTTCATATTTCTTTATTAATATCACCAGTAACTATTGTAATGTATCCATTTAATGTCTGATAAACTGGTTACAAATTCTAACTGCCTAAATATTTTCCTGACTATTTTCTTAAAACTCAACATGCAAAAAATAGAAATGTTATTAAATGCAAAACTGCAAATACAAAGAGTGAATTATGAATTTTATAATAAATAAAACTGTATGTGGGATGATAAAACACTATTTTATATATAATGCCATATATACTGAGGTAGATATATAATATAATTAAAGTCAGGGTGAGGAAGGGGGTCTATAAAAACAAATGCAGCAAAATGTTTCTCATAAATAAACACATACATATAAAGGCCTTTTCACAACGTAATGCCTTAATTTTAGATTTTCAATTAATCTTCAATAATTCATAATTCATAATCTCAAATTTGCTTGAAGGAAACAATAGATTTACAGATAATGTTAGCTACATGTAGTTAGCTAGGTGTACAATATCCAGAGTGTCAAACTACATGTAAGCTTGAAACAGCATTGACAATGTTTTAATCAAATCGTATCTGGCATAGACCAATAAACATTTGTTCAGTTAATAAATCTAATTTAAATAGTGCAAAAAAAAACACCTTCGTGATTTTATTTCAAGGAAGATTATCTACTACACTATACTGTTTAAAGACAGGGAAAAGATGACATAGATTTGATCTATTATTTATTCCACTGATATCTACTGTCTTACAAGTTTAAATATCAATCAATATGCTTTAAATGACATTTAGTAGACGTACATTACAAATACATTAAAAGATGCAATTATTCTATAGATAACATTTACAGGATTTATATCAAGCTAGATTTCAATAAAGAATCTATTATCTTGATCATTTATTTGAATCGATTTGAAGAAAAAACAAATCCTGTAATGGTTTCAATAGAATTGTGTCTTTAAAATAATTTTGTAAAGAAAACTCTTATATGAATTTGATTTAGTATATGTTTTGGAGTTCAACAAATAAGTACAAAGTATCATTTTTGATTTTGATTGATTATTAATTCAATTTCCTTGATTAAATGACTTTGTGGGAAGAACCTGTTTAAACTGTTAGATGCAAGTGTTATGTGTAAAGAAATCTCAAACTCAACCGTGCAGTGACGATTCAACCACTGAATTAGATTCACCATCTTCTCTAGCTGCCTTTATAATATTACCCTATAGACTGTCCTATACACAACTAACAGGGTTATAGCCATCTTGTTCTGATAGAGGTATTGTAATAAAACGTCCTGAAAAATAAAAATTACATATATTAGAAAATTAAGGAAAAATGCTGAAAACAAACAGACATTTAAATTAATGCAAGGGGGGGGGGACATAGAATTTAAATTAATTCAAGGGACATATACATTTAAACAATATGACTAGTCCTCACCATCCCTTGCCCTTGCATTGGTTTGGAAGGCATAAGGAAAAACAACTTCTTGGAATATCAATGGGCCTAGTCAGAAGATTCATACTCTTAAGCACATTAGCTCAGCAAGGCACGGTCGCTTCTCTAAAAGGAATATCAGTCTGTTCAGTATTTACAAATATTAAATAATCAATTTTAGTACATTTTAGCCTGGATTGAATCATGAAAAAAATTAGATTTTGTCCAAGAAATGCAAATGTCAATCAGCAGTTTTAAGAGAGTGTAATAGGATACCCCGGCCAAAAGCATTTTCATCTTTTCTTCACCAAATTTCGACTGTGAATGTTTTTTTTACATGATTACCAATGTTACACTGATAAGTCTGAATCTTTTTGTACCATCCAAACAAATTGACAAAACTTTAATTGGCACCCTTGCAGATGCCAACCTAGACAATTGGGAACTGGGCTTAACAGAAACTAATACTCTTATTTTAAAATAATGATGTGTCATCTGTTGCTAAAATATCAAATTTCTCACAGCCTTATCCACTCTAATATGTACTCAGATTGATTATTTAACATTTAATTAAGACAACTAAATCAAAATATCAATGCTAGATAATCTCCCGGGTTGGATTCAATCGAATTTAAATCGGGGCTATCATTAAATTTTCGTGGACAACAAAATGGCGGCGGGCTTATTGCATAGCAAGCAGATAGATCAATAGACTTTCAATTTGACATATCTTTGTAAATATCGAAAAGAATTGAACTATTATTGGACCAATATTCCTGTTAGAGATTAATCTTTCACAATATTGTAGTTTGCAGGTGATTCCTATTGCTTAAGATGGTGCATCAGGACTTTAAATGGCAAGTTCTCACCTTGTGGTTGTGTAAATAAAACCATAGAACGTCGAGGAACATTGACTGGTACAGAACTCGATTGTTGACACATTTCACAGACTCTAGAACGAAAAGGTGTCGGTCTTATAATATCAGGATATCTAGAGTGTTGACCAGAACTAGATACACGTGAACCACCATGTAAAGATGGCACATGATAATGTCTGCTACTTCCACTAGATTGAGGCTCACCGCGACTATCAACAGCCAATGAAAATCGTTTATTAGATAACCTTGGATGTAGTGGGGGTTGATAGCACAGTGTGTGATCCTCGGTATAAGTCCGTGAAGTTGAATGAGTAACACAGTATTGGTTTGAAGGGACATAACTCTTACCCATTGCTATTCCTGACATACTGTGTCTAATTTCTTTAGACGTTGAAAAAGTATGGCTTCTTTGTATCACAGTTTTAGGTTTTCTATTGTTTGAGTTTAATCCTCTAGTTTGACACGAGTAACTATGAGGATTAGAAGAACGAGATTTGGCAAGAGTTTGACTAGTAGTTGAAGTATTATAATTAGGACTGGGTTCTAATATAGACCTATGTACACTTGAATAACCAGTTTTTTTACACACTGTACATACATTTTCCTGAGGGACAACAGTACAACATTCATCCGCACTATCACTAGACACTTGATTAGAATCATCAGCAATATGACTTGCAGATGCACAGTCGGGATCACGCGGATTCGACACATGCCCAATACTTCTCTTCATTAAACATGAGGGTCGCATTTCAATGGGAGGTAATTTGGGCGATACTCGTTCTTCATTATCTGACTGATTTGTCCGCTTATCGCGATACACATTAGAATCGTTACTACTTGTATCACTAATATCTTTAACATCACTACTTCCGTATGTACTCTTGTTACTATCAACCTGAGTCGTATCCACATTTTTAAAACAATCACACTCTAAACTAGAATCACTTGGATTCGGGTCCGAACTGCTACTTCCTCGAACAGCGACAATACTCGCTGATCGCGGCACACTAACATAATCCACACTATTTTTATCCACACGTTTGGAGTTCGGCACTGAAAATCTTTTTGATTGATCTGTCATTGGGGTAGAACTGCTACGATACACTGAATTACATCCATATTTACCATGGCAAGAAGAAGAAGAAAGAGTATAAGGGCTGGGTAGGTAAACGCTAGGGGATCTAGCCCTACCATGTGTTGGTGGGGCTGCATCTATTGGTTGATAATATTGATCAGGTAATGATATACACTGTGAATGAGATGTATTGGGAATATGATATTGATAGTTACTAGGGGTAGAACCGACCGTACCTTCACACGAAGGCCATGTTATATACTGTTGATGATGGGAAGTATGATGTGATTGAGTATAGTCCCTTCTGTATGGCATAGATGTATAATGACTATTGTCTCTATGATTACCATCTCTATGACTACTACTGCCACCTTGAGGTAAAACTGGAGCATTAGATGACGTCTGTTGACTGGCACTAGTGCGAACTTGACCCGTCTCATTATTGGATTCCTTTTGAGCTGAAAAAAAGAAGTACACGTTAATAACAACCTTGATAGTTGGAATTTGAAATAAAAGGCTGCAGCTCTGCTGTCTGGGCAAAATTTCCCTATGCATGGTCTATGCCCATCTTCATTAGCTCGGTTGGTGCGAAAAAATAGGATGTAAAGCCCCATTAAATTTAATATCGTTCCTTGTCAAAAACGGAAAGAAGCTGGTTTATACTTTCACTGGTTTATCAATGTCCCATTAACAAATATATAATTGGCCTTTCCTATAAAAATTAATCAAAGTTTTACTTACCTGTGATTTTATAATTACAAAGCGGACATCTGCCTTCAGTAAGCAGCCAGGTATCGACACATTTTCTATGAAATTCATGGGCACATGGTAAAACACGTAATACCTGAAATATCAAAATATCTTATTAAATATTTACAATGTAATTAAAATATAGATCTATATTTTGTTTCATTTTTTATACTTTCGATGGCCTACACTACATGTAGATCCAACAAGTTATAGTGGGAGTTCACGTTTTATGACGTCAGGTACCAAGTAAGCGACATTTGACCCGATTACTTCAGTCATTCGATTAATCAATTAGCAACCGCCATGTATTTTTTATCTACTTTTGCTTTGTTTTGATTTCTATTGCCGCTAATGTCTACCCACAGTTCCGTGCAATAAAGGTCAAACGCTCGATTCTACAGACCATTTGATTGGCTGACCCCTCATTTCAAGGAAAACACGAGTGAAATAACAACGCTTCCAGATCCAAGTGTAGTAAAGACAAGTAAAATCGAAATTTTGAACTATAAAAACGAAACGAAATTGGATCTGTGTTTTAATCAGATTGAAATATCTATTATTTCCGCTCAGTTATTATCACGGTATGTGTTATTCATCTATATTTAAACAAAATTTAATAATAAATGAACAGTTTGTAAATAAATATCTGTTTTACTTACCTGACCGTCTTGGTAACCTTCAAGACATATTGCACAGTTATCAGAACTCGAAGATGAATAACAACTCGAGTCTGAGTTAGGCGTATGAATATGTTGCTGTTTCCCTGGAGACAACTGATACTTTCTGGTCTCCATCTTGGCGATTGCACGTTTTGTTAGACTGGATTCAGACAACTAAAAGAAAATGTTTACATTGTCAGAGTGAAATAAATAAATTTAGGTTTATCATATCAGCACAATGCTTAGAATCATAAATCTGAAAATGCACCAAACAAACTCAAAACTTTTATCATGTGAACATTCAAATAATGAAATAGTAAATAAATTAAAAGAGATTTGGAGTTAGCACATTTAATGTTTAAAATTTATAATTAATTCATATTTAAACTTTTGAAGGTAATGATAGAGATGTTATCAATGATGAATAAAGGGAGATAATTCATCCCTTACTATTAAAAAATAAATCTATTTGTGAGTCTTGCAAGTATACCGTATGAATATTAAACAGATATTAAGGAAATCTCTAATTTGTATAAATAAAATATTCAAATACCTGTCTGTCTCTATGTCTGTATTTTAACTGAAATGAAACAACGGTCAGTTTTAAATATAATAATTAGAATAACTGACTTAATTAAAGGACAATAGTTTCAAAATAAAAAGAAATCATTCCTAACCTTTTTTTTTATAAATTACTGATAGTAAATTAATTAAACAAAAATAAACAAGAATGTGTTCAGATAAAGGTGACACTTGATCTAGTTGTGAATAATTAAATTAACACATGTCATACAACCACAATCGTAAATATAACACGGTTATTTATCGCAAGAAAAGAAAAGAAAAAACGTCAATAGGTTCACAGTATCTGTGTTTATCAATACTACAATATCATTTAATCCACATACAAATATTAGTATTAAAATCTAAACAGATCATATGATGTTTATCAACTATAAGGACAACTATCACAAGAAAAAGGTAGAAAAGTCTTGTGAGATCAAAACAATTAAAGGGACACAAGTCAAAAACATGTTCTATCTTAATGTAAAGAATGGTTAGCTTGTATGGAAAAGATTGCATAATTATCACCTATTACTATGTATCTCAGACATATAAAGATGGCTGCATGAAATCAATGTAAACTTCAAGTTATAAAGTCAATATGAATAATCTTTAAACCAACGCTTTTTAATCGGAAATCTTTTGATTATGCATAAATTTCACTCTATATTTGACTTAATCTAGTTTGTCTACCTCTTTACATTGACACAACAGTTTGGATGAGAATTTTTGTTTATAAAATGTTGGGCATGCAAATGGGGCTTACTCTTGGTGAACTATATTTTTACAACATAAAATAAACTAAAATAAAGAGAATACCTGAACTTATCGTTATACTTACTTTTAATATCACAAAAACACAAATTAAACAAAATATAATAAATACTGCCACAAATATACCCATATCAAAATATTCCTTGTGACTAATCTGAAATATATTACAAATATTAAATGATAATATTAATACCAACACTTGTATATAATATATGCAAATAAAGTCTTTCATTATTTGCATTGAAGATCGTCCTATAATAGTAGTTACAAATTAAATACATTACTACAATCAAACTATATAATGGTAGCATAACATTTACACTCAAAATGGCCATATCATTTGACCAAGGTGTTCTTGGGTAAAATTGCTTTTAATTTTGAGAGACTTAAAGGAGCATTCCAGATATCATCCTTGGTGGAAGTGGGCATTAACTCTGATGAACGAATGAACGACCCATGTAAGAACTTCAGCGACTTTATTTTCCATATGTGTAATGGAGAGCAAATGACAGAAAATCACCAACCTCAACATCGTCCTGAGCACTGTAAATAATCCTAATACGAGCTTCATCTTGTGTGTTTACTATTTTCATTAATCTATCAGCATCTATACCTCGTACTAATATCACTGGACGATCAAGGGTGTAGGTAGATTTTTGTAACTGAAAAATAATAAACCTTCAAAATCAAAAAGTGATCTTATCTGACTTAAAAGTTCACAAGTATTGAATTTGTCTAACAATGGCCAAAACAATCTAATTTTTAGCTCTTTTGGGTCTTGATACATGTAAATAAATAGCAACTCCAGTCTCATGGTCATGGTTTTTGTTTAAAATTTTAAAGCTTACAAATTTGGAAATGAAAGCTTTTGAGGGGAGCACCAAAGTTTGTTTTGTCTCCTCCCAAAGAAATAGGAAACCAACTTTGAAATAGATGTTTTTGAAGAATAAAAATTTAATTTGTTGTGGCCATATCAATGATTGTTTTCAGTTTTATGTCATTGCTTTATTAATTGTTATGACTTTGGGCTCTAACATTGGGGTATTATTATGTCTGAAGGGTGGTGTCATGGTAACAGGCATCTTATGTCTCTGAGAGTCCGGCTATTTTCCTTGAACAAATTATGCTTTACTCCATGCAGATGAATTTTTAAGTGTTTCAAATATAAATGTTTCCATATGCCTTTGTGATGCCTGAAAGTATAAATATGAAATAACCATGCCATCTGCTAAATGGAGGTGATCATTCATTTAAATATGACTCTAATCATAACCAAATAATTTATACAACACATAATTATAATATTTTACCTGCTGAGCAACATCCATATTGTCCGATATGTCAAATATAACAGCTGTAGCCCCCCTTTGTAATGCTCGGCCTGCCTGAAAAATATAGTTAACAATTGTATTAAATTTAGATATAAAAAACATTAAAATCAAATTTCGGTCTGAGAGCGACAGACATTAATGTTTTTACAGAATATATTAGCAACTTTGACCTTTTGTTATATTGCTATCTGAAATTTAAAAGGCCATTTTTGAGCTAACTTTGGGATTATATATTTTTATTACTGAAACAAATATAAAAGAAACTTTAATGATAAAGTGTATACAGACAACTTTTGAGATTAAAAATACAATTCCACACTGTTTACCAATTTGTTTCCCTCAGCCATAAAAAAATCAAATCAAAGTTTCGCAAAACATTTCCATTTTCTCGTCCCTGATGTTAATTAATTAACTTCATTTAAAAAGAAGTCTGTCTCCCATTACAATAATTGAATAAGTAGAAAAAATGGGTGTGGATCCAGACAAAAGCCATTTAATCTAATTAATTCAATTAGATAAATAGAAATCAATTGATATCAAACGAAAATTGCCTTTAGAAGTTGTCAAGAAAATAGAAAGAAAGAATCTTTTATAGAAGAAACCTAAACAGACAATGTCTAGTGAGGTAAAAGAATTGCCTATATATATATATAGGATTGGTATTTATTGAGGTAAGCGTATATCTAACACGGAGAAATAAAAAACATCCATGTCTGTCGCCCTCTCACTTAAATCTAATTAGAACTCACAAGAACAAAGTTTAATACAAGTCTAATCTTACTATTATATAGCATAACGTGGTCTGAACCCGAGGTCAATAATACACTCATTTTATTCTTTCTATTGACTCTAGTTTTATTATGAAATCGTGTTCAATGCTGTCTTATCTATGGTGAAAACTTGTATAAAGACTACCCCCTTTTTCTCCCTCCACTCTCTATTGTTCAATTGACAACTAGAGTACAATCGGACAAATAACACCACCTTTCCTTATTCTTCTTTCCTCCTTCAATAGAAGAGTTTGTCTCTATATCATATTGATGTCTCTCGCTGTAGAAATAATTGTAAATGATCACAAATCAAGATTAGTTTGTGGACTGAATCCTTTAAAAAATGTACACACAATATTTTCCCAGTTCACAAGCCAAATATTTTGAGAATTTTGTTTATCTATTTTTTATATTAGATTTTACAAAGCTGACTTTCAACAGGTATAATCTTCATCTTCAACCTCATTTCTTGGATGAGCATTCTCAATAAGTGACAATAAAGGCCTTTAACTAACCAGATATCTATTTAAAAAGAGTTTATCAACAAACATTTAAAATAATAATCAGGCAATTATATTCTGGGCAAATTGACTACAGCAAAGATTCAAGTTCTTCTTCCAGATTACTATATCGGCTCCTGATTTTAATATTTCATTTTCTAAAGCTTTATCATCTTATTCAATTCACGGCCCTTACATCCTTAAAGGGCCAATCCCGATAATATTTTGAAGAATAAAATTGCTTATTTTTGCGTTAAAATAGCTTAAAATCCTCTACCTTAGGGCCGAGCAACTAACTCAGTATATATGATACGTTTTCAAACAACTTAAACCTGTCAGTCTTCATCTGGAAATGGAGATCTGTGTCTGATAAAACCAGACTTTTATTTTATAAAAATATTGTGTAGGTGAAATTTACTTTTCGTTATCAAGTACAGCACGTGGGTCATTCACAGTATAGACCTCTAAAGGAACGGGAATCGAATCTCAGGTCACCCAACGAAACAATTGACCCGAAATCTTAAAAGGGTTACGTGTCCGGATAAGCAGTTTTGACGTTCATGTCCACACAACTCAATATTTTGAGCTGAAATTTCGAGACAAACTAAATACACCACTCCTCTATAGTTTGGTGCTTAAATTTCATACGTACTCGGATTTTTATTTTTGAAGCTCTGTTCAAATCGGGATCGTCCCTTTAAGACTAAAATTCTACAGCCTGTGGGATGTTCCCATTATAGGATTTTATTTCCAGAGGGACATACAAATCTGAATGCAATGTTAGCATCCATTAATTATTCCAAGGTATTTTTAAATTTAGCAACATTTTAAATACCTTGTCAGAAGCAGGGTAATCCACAGCTATAAATATAGCATTTTATCTTCCCTAAAGTTTTTATTACCCTTACAAATAAAATAACTATTTTTCAATTAACAAATTAAAAAAAAACATTTAAAAGATGCATTTATAAAGATTCAAATTTAGTTTTTCGGCTTTAGAACTGACAGGGTTGAAATTTATGGACACATTTTTGTGGAATTTAACATAATGCACTTGATAATAACTAGATAAACCACAGAGAAATATAAGAGAAAAACTGAAATAGGTTTCCTGTATAAAGTAATTGTTATCATGAAATGTTGATAAACATACACCATACATCTTTCACTACGGCAAGAAACAGTATGTAAGACTTAGATCAAAAAGATATCTAACACATACATATGCTTTGAAACTATCATCTCCATAACTTGCACCACCCTAATTTAAAAACTTTGGCTATCACACGGTGCACATTTCTTACCCCAGCACTCCATCACGCTAACAATGGTTTAAGTATATATTTTATTATTTAAAGATGTATTGTGATAACCACACTATACAAGATATATATCTACATCAATAGATAGAAAGCAGGATTCCTGCTGATTCCAGAAGTAACAATAAATAAACACAACTATTCAAATACAAAGGAAGATTCAGTAATAAAATCTGCCAAGTACAATCTTTAAGAAAATGAATGGGTTACAAAAACTACACTTGGAATTCTGGTGCTGTTTTCTAAATCTGGATATTTTATTTATTTAATAGATACAGAATACATTTTCAAAGAGCATCTTATTCCAATTTGTTTGCTTGAACAATATTTGTCTAGAGAAACAAGACTTTTCAAAATTTTGGTCAGTTTGGCAGCTTTAGATCTCATTTATGCTTGGTTGTAGAAGCATGTGGAATGGTAAAAGCAAGATTTGTCAAAGAATGCTTCATGGAATTTTGATTCCATCAATATTTCTTAGGAATTATCATTTAACAACACTGTACATGTCCCATCTAAAACACCTTACATTATACTTCAATCAAATATTTATTTGTTGTTCATCTTTCCACCAATGTATTCCAGATCTTTCTATGTCTTGAAGTCCAAAACAATAAAACCTATTGATACTGCATGTCAAGAACAAATCCTTTTTCGTGTACAAAAAACTTTGAATAACGGTAAAAGATTCAGACAGTGTATAATATTTGGTATTTCTAGAAAGCCACCAAAATGGATAAGAAAGACTTCTTTAGAAATGAAAAAAAGTTTTCTGTAGGGTATATCATTGGTCTTTTTGCTAACAATTCAATTTTTGACATAACAGGGTATTTTGACAAGATTAAGAATTATCGAAATTTTTAAAAATTCTTTCCTTTTGTATGTTTTTTTAAAAACATTAAAACTATTTGTTTGTTTTTTTAAAAACATTAAAACTATAAATCTGTGTTTATTGTTTATTGAGTTATTTGAAACTCTAAATTTCAAAAAGTTAATTGACTGACAGTAAGTTCTCCTGCCTGTCAATTTCATGGCCAGTCAGTCAAGACTGGAAAAAATAAATGAAAAGAGAGCCATGGGATATCTTATTTACAGCATACAATTCACTGTTGGTTATTAAATATAAAGACGTAAGATTCTTACCTTATCATATATAGAAAGACAGGGATCTGGTTCCAACTCAGGTTTTTCCAGTTTAACCACACCCACCCAGCCAAATGAATACAACTCATCGTAATCATTAGTATTACACAAACCCAGAGGATGAAGCTGAAAAATATAAACAATACCTACATAAATAAACAATTTATATACATTATAATAATATACACAACACAATGTCTATATCACATTCAAAATTTGATTCTAAAAAACACAAATCTTCATTTGTTCTTTAAACGGTCAAGTGTCCATGCTAAATAGCATGCCATCTCTTGACAATTTCCATTAGATATCAGTGATGAGGTACAGAGTGCTTATCCTTTCTAGACCACCCTCATACCACTTCTTTTCAGAAGACTACAGAAATTTACCAAATTTTTTTATTTAACTTTTGTATTTATGTTCTCTCAAAATTGAAAGACACGTACATGTATGAAGAATTATCTACAGTGAAACATTACTCCTTGGATATGCAATGCCCTCATTTTTATCCACCCACCTTCATATTGTGTTTTATCAACCAACATCTGTATTGTGTTTTATCCACCCACCTCCATATTGTGTTTTCTCACCCCACCTCTACATTGGGTTTTATCTAGCCACTTCCATATTGTGTTTTATCAACCCACATCCATATTGTGTTTTATCAACCCACATCCATATTGTGTTTTATCATCCCACTTCTACATTGTGTTTATCCACCCACCTCCACATTGTGTTTTATCAACCCACATCCATATTGTGTTTTATCATCCCACCTCTACATTGTGTTTTATCCACCCACCTCCATATTATGTTTTATCAACCCACATACATATTGTGTTTTATCATCCCACCTCTACATTGTGTTTTATCCACCCACCTCCATATTGTGTTTTATCATCCCACCTCCATATTGTGTTTTATCAACCCACCTCAATATTGTATTTTGAACAAGTATATAGAGTTGGGCAGTCTACTAATCTTATTTTGATCAGGGTCAAACCAACTGTACAACTTTATGTTCTAATCAATAATCTATAGGGATAGCAAGATAAAACATGAAACTGATGAAATAATATTCACTGATATTTTATTCCTCAAATTTCTGTGACAATAAAAAGTTGGATTGTACATTTCTTTACAAAATTCAATCCATACGATTCACAAGTAAATAAACAGAAATTCAATAGATCTTTTTATTGTTAAAGATCAAACAAAAAATATCTCAATGTAAGTTCACAAAAATACACCACAAGGCAAGTAGGGTCTTATCATGGGTAATAATATTAAAACTAGGTCTGTGAAACATATATACCAAATAAAACATTGTAAATAGTCCAATTCGGGTTACAAAAATAAAGGTGTAATTGAAATGTATGCATGACTAGCTTAATTCCCTTCTTTTATAGTTTGTCTGTTATCAAAGCCCTCTAGTGTCTATTAACCAGTTAATATCAAGTCAAAGAAAAGATCAAAGGAAACATGATATATCACCTCTAGTAATGAAGCTTATATTATAACTGGGTATAGTTGGTTGGGTATTATACCACCCTTATTAAAAAGGATCTAATGTGCATATACTCCAGTTGTTGTGTAGTATCTTATGTTCACCAGTCGCGACTTCCTATCAAAAACCTATCAAAATCGTATTAAAATTGACAATACAAGATGCACTAGGAATCAAATTAAGACAGGGACTAAGAGCTCTCATAACTTGTTATTATCACACACAATATAAATATAGACAGCACATACATATAATAGGCTAATCTGTCAATTATCTTCTACTTGTAAAAAAATTGTAAATCATTGTATTGTGTGACAATTAATGTGAATGCATGAGACGATTAAAGAGAGACAGAGAGGTGATACAGTTCAACTACTTGTTATACACTAGAATATTGTGATTTATGTGATTATTCTAGACTGCAGTGTAATCATAAGGCAAAGAAATATAATTATTATGTGATGCCCCATGATAAAAGAAAAGTTGAAATATATTGATTATTACGCGGCCATATTTGTTTCTCTCAAACAAGCCCTACCTTTAGTTTCTCCATTTGTCATCACAAAATATACGTTCATGCAGTACTTAAAGTCTCTGTGCGTCAACTGCATTTTTTTCAGAAAATATCAGGTATGTAGGCCTATGGTACAATATTTGTCAGCAAGTTTCCATATCTGAGCACTGGTACATTTTTGAGCAAAATACTACTGAAAATCACTTCTAGTTCGTGCATGCTTTTGGCTATTTTTATGGACAAAACACTGTAATAAATAGTGGACAGTTTTCAGCTGTTTCAGTACATTTACATGGGTACATAACTCTTTCCCTTGAGAAACAACACCAATGATCACACCAATTTAGGTTGGCTTGTTAAACATTTAGTACCTCAAAGAATCATAAAATATTCACTCTTTTATTATTGAGACAAACAAACAACAATGTGAAATGAGTGAAAGTGTACTTCAGAATATTGTCTATAATAGCAGGTTTTTCCCCATTACTTTGAATTTTTAGTCAAATCGGCTGCATTTACCAGGACCATGATCGATGTTAATGATTCTATAAAGATCTGGGTAAAAGAGTCTATTTCAACTCCAGCTGGGTCAACATTAAGCATGGCTCTGGTTCTTGACTTGCTTTAACCTCAAGGTCATTAGAATTTGAGTCCAACAGCTCTAAATTGTTCAAGATATTGAGATCTTTTCATCTTGTTGGATTCTTCATATGATTCGAGAAAACCCCCAAGAGTTTGTTTAAAACCCAATATTAACATAACGCAGCAGAAAAAACAAACATTTTAAACATTAGTCAACAGATTTCTTTATCTTACTTCTGGGAATTTCTAAACATTATGGTGGCTATAAATATGGTTGAGTTGACTAATAGTTTATAAGACACCTGTTCAGTGTTTAATCGGGGATATTATTGCCCACCATTGTTTTTCTCCTATTTTCAGTGTTTGTTTACAGGCTTTATAAACATGACTTGTCCAGCTTCTGTTAGCACACGGCTAGCGAACAAAACACAAATTAGCTAGAAAGTTATTCCATATGAAGAAAACAAATTCTTATCTAGTCACCTCCACTAGACAACTTGACTCCTACACACACGCTGTAGGATCTTTATGGTGATGGTGATTATGTGCCAATCTGATAATATTTCTAATATGCCATATTCATGTAAGCACATTAAGAGAGCTCATCATTATACACCAATGTGATTTCACAGAATAGTCGGTACAATTAAATCAAGTTGACGATTGTCATGTGAGGGATTCTGAATTCCTTCCAACTCCAATATTATGAAAGTTGATTCTCCAAGAGGAATATCAGTTAGAAAATGGTTCAATCCCACTCTGTATTTAGAAAAATATCAATTGAAAGTTTTGCAACATTTGACATCCTCTTCAGATGATATAAACAATCCAGCACCACCAGGAGATTATCTACCATTGATACTTTGGTTTAATTTTCTAAATTAAATGTTAAATAATAAATCTGAGTACAATTAGATATTGTCTGAGAGACCCAAATAACAATCAAAGACTTTAAATTATACAATGTTTCTTCAGGTATGTTTTTTTTAAAGTGACATGGTGACATGCAATGAAGGTCATTTCATATTCAGGCATTTCCCATCCACTTCAAAATGTGCATTCAAAAATTCCACAAAAGATTGAAATTAGTAAAAAAAATTAAGTTTCATTGTAAAATATTGGATAAACTTGCTCAGCTCCACACCACGAAAATATTTTTGCATTCAAATCAATCTGCTTCAGATGTTCTCTCTTACTACGTTCTCTTTTCCTTGAGGATTGAAAGTGATCTATTTTGGTCGATAAATGTTACCAAAATATTCAGCAATGCCTCGACAAGAATCTTGTAGAATTTTATGAACCCAAACAGAAAACAACCACCTTGCCTCAACCTAGTGTAAAAAACACAGTTTGTTTATTTAGATGTGTATTTGAAGTAAATTGTTTCATCCAGCTTGCTAACTTGTTCTTTTTGTTGAAATATCAAGAACCTGTACACTGTGTCAACATGATATTAAGCTACAGTATATCAACTATGTGGTCTACCATTTTTCACCTTAGTGCCGTGGACCGATTCACATCCTGTAGGGTCATACAAAGATTTTTTATAAGCAATCTGGTGGTCATTGCAATTTCTGCATGAAATGGAATGTAATGGAATCGAATCTTAGAACTTGCAAATACATTAACAGGTCATTCTGATACTAATTTACGCTTGGGATTTTTATCCACCATGGTAAAGTACCATTATGCTACCACAGAGGAAACTTTTGCATGGAAATCAATGTTTCCATATAAACTCCTTTGATTTCCAAGTGAACATTTTACAGATCCTGATTTGTCAATGAAACGACGTAGAAATGTCACTATTATGTCACTGTGGTTGGACAACCATCTTTTTCAACACCATAAGTATAAGCCTCAATGGCTAAGGTCATGTCAGTTTATAATAGTATAGAGTACTATACATTTTTGTTGTTGAATCATTTGCGTTCAAATTGCTTAAATGCCAACATTTATGTAGTATAAAATACCCTAACAGCTAACCAAAGCTTGCATTGGAAATATCACCCCACACCACAATAGTCCTGCACACAATCTTCCCGTGGTTGTTCTTGTTAACCTGAATATTCAACTTTGAAGGAAATATTTAGAGAGCAATAAAAAGTTGTCAGCATATCTTATATTTAAAAAAAAAATAAAAAATAAAAAAAATATGTGACTTGGTTAGATATGACGGCTGTAGATTGTAAGATAAATCGTGCATGTAGAAATTTGTAATAAAAAATGTCCTCGCATTGAACTTAACGTATAAAATCCACTACTTATGCAATAATAAAACCGGCAATTTAACACTCAAATAACATATTCTTAATAGAAAACTAATAACTTTTAAGTGCTTCATAATTTTTATTGCTAAACATATTTATTTTCTCCCATTCATAGGTTTCCTATTCTTTTCTGCTTTATTTATATTATAAGAGGACTTTTTGTGGCTTTAAGGCTTTTAATTTCTAAAAGAAAACAAGAAAAAGACAGTATAAATCATTCAAAAGAGTAAAATCTCATATTTTTCATTAAATT